GCGCGCGGAGTGGAAATGCCAGGGGTGTGGCAGCACAGTTCTGTTTTATCATGACAATGCATTCAGAGGTATGTACAGTAGTAGAAGTCTCTCTCTCTCTCTCTCTCTCTCTCTCTCTGTGTGTGTGTACACAGGGGTGACTTTACTTTCTCTGATGGGAACTCAAATGGTTTATTCCCATTTATAGCCAGCCCTTCCTTCAGTGAGCTTTGGGGCAATGGATATCACTTTCCCCACAGCAGCCCTTTGAGGTTGGAAATGGAGGGAGTTTCATAGTTCAGTATAGGCAAGATCCTGTCTCTCATAAGGCACTCAATATCTGTTGATCATGTGTCAATAGCATATCTGTGTTGCTTCTTCCCAGACTTTAACATCTAGCCTCTTTTCACTCCTTCCCCTCTGCAGTTTTTATAACACAGGTTCTCTGACCCTGATGGATTTTACACTATTTTGGCCCCAGGACTGAATTGTGGTTGGCCTAATAAAAGTATCATTCCTACACTGGAATTCAGATTTGGGGTGTTTATTGATTCGCATGGGTGCCTCTGCATTCTGTGTTGGGGTGTGGATACACTTAAAATATGGGTTAGGGATGCTGTTGGTTTTCCACCCACCCTGCTACCCTACTGTCTCCCTGTCTGAGCTGGAAGGGGTTATATTGGCAATGGTGCTGAAGACCGCCAGGCTGCTTTTCTTAGGACTTGTTTTCCATTATTTCTCTGCCTTTGAAGCAACTTTGTGAAGCAAGGGTGGGTGAGATCCAGAGGTCTAGGACCTCATACATCCATTTAAAAAAGCTTTTCTCATTGAAGAGGCCCTCTTATGCCCTCTACTGTCCAAAAATTAATTTTATGCTATTCTAATTTTTGACATGTTGTGATGCCAGGAGTGCTGTGGACCGCTGAAAACACTGTCTGTCTGTCTGTCTGTCTAGCTAATTTGTATCCCACTCCCTTTAGTGTCACAGCACTAGTCTGGGCGGGTTACAACACATATAATAGAAAACAAAACAAAAAAATTAGAAACATTAAAAGCAGCAAAATTACCTAAAAACAGATAGCACTGACTAATCATATAGACTCAGAGCAGACAGAGGAAAAGGTAAGGGGTGGGGAGAAGAGGAGGGGAAAGAAAAAGTGCGGGAAGGTGGTCAGCTGGGATCAGTGTGGAAAGCCTCCCTGAAAAGCATTGTCTTTAATGGCTTCCTCAATGTCCACAGGGAGGGGGCCAGGCGGAGCTCCTCTGGAAGCTGGTTCCATAAAGTTCGAGCCACCAGAAAGAAGGCCCTACCTCTTGTAGTGGATTTATGAGCCCACCTCAGAGTGGCCACCGGGAGGAGCCACAGCTGGGATGATTCTGTCGGTCAGGCAGATGATGTTAAGGAGAGACGCTCCGACAAGTAACAAGGGCCCAAACTATGGAGAGCTTTGTCTATGAGTGTCAGGACCTTGAACCTGATCACAGGCAACCAGCGGAGGTCGGCCAGAACCGCACTTTATTTCCTGAGCTAGCTGCTTTGCCAGCGTTTTTCTCCCCCCTGTTCTGAGGCTCTCTTCTGTCCACAGACGGCTACAAGGACCGTGCTATTTTCTATCCTGGTGAGATTCATCTCAAGTCGGTGACACGAAAGGATTCCGGCACATATACCTGTGAGGTCCTTAGCAGTGATGGGAAGTTCTCCGAATCCCAAGTGGAGCTTGTTGTTCAAGGTACACCTTTCACTTGAAAAAGCCAAGTAAGGCAGGATATCCTTCCATCTCTCTGAAATAAGGTTTTCTATTCATCGCTCTTTGAAAGCATAGCCTCCATTATCGCCTCGGTTTTGCCTCTACCTTCCTTGGCTCTCCAGCAGTGTCATGGCTGCATCCTAGGGGATCCTCAGGCTCAGAGTTTGGTGAGATGTCATGGCTGCATCCTAGGGGATCCTCAGAGTTTGGTGAGGACCTTGGAATTCTTGCAGAACAAAAAGCTAATGTTTCTGTACTTCACCTTGAATTACAGCAGAGTATTCTTAAGTTCCTCACCAAACTGCAGATCTCAGGATTTCCTAAGTTGGAAGGGCTATGGTGGTTGATGTGGGATGTGAGAGCCCAGGATACCTCCACGCTAGCTGTCTCATAGAGGCCTGTGATGGGATGAACCCTCAGTGATGTTCATTGAATCACATAATGATTTGAAAAGGAGCCTCTAAGGCCATTCAAGTCCAATCCCCTGCTTAAGGCAGGAATCCAAGTCACAGTAGATCTGACAGAGGGTTGTACAATTTTCTCTTGAATGCCTCCAGCACCGGATTGCTCATCACCTCCCAAGGCCATTGGTCCCATTGTTGTACTGCTCTAACAATCAAAAAGTTTTTCCTGATTTCCCAAGATGCTCTTGGATTCTGTCCTCCTGCAGTTATGTCTGTGGCAACCGTGTTTATTTTCCTAAAATACTGCATGTTTGGAACTTCTGGTTCCATTTCTTATTGGTGGCTAAGGTTTGTTTAAAAATTACTAGCCACTTTCATGTGCCATGACTCCCCGGTGCTTTGCAGTCTGGGAACATGAACCTGCAACATCCTGGCAAGGGCACCCAGCCCAAGACCCTCCAAAAGCTGTCCTCTATTTTCTCAGCTGGTGCTGCTTGCGTATTTTAAACTGTTTTAGCCACGCTAAAAGTTGCCCCCAGAAGCCACTAGTCTGGCCCAAATCACAAGGGTGTGTTGACCCAGCGTCCCTGCGCTCCTTTCCCTTCCGTAACTGGCTGTCTTGGCCCTGCAGTGCCGCCCTCCAAGCCAAAGGCCCAGGTGCCTTCCGTGGTCACCATTGGCACCAAAGCTGTCCTGAAGTGCGTGGAGACGGATGGCAACCCGCGCCCCACCTTCAAGTGGTTCAGAGACAACATCGAGATGCCCGCAGACCCGCAGACCAGCACCTTGTTCAAGAATTCATCCTATTCCCTCGACGAGAAGACAGGGGTGCTGGTAGGTTCTTCAATGTGCTGTATGGTGCAGTGAGGAGTCGTTATGTCTCAAAGGGAGAGAAAGTTTGTTTTGTAATTGAAATATTTTCTCCTCCTAAGAGGATCCCCTCGATTTAGCTGGTGTAATTTGGTGCTTTTCATTATTAGAAAGTGATGAAGTTCTGCTAGCAGTAGACAAGAGGGCAGGGAGCAGACATTCCAGTAAAAACAGAGATCAGAAACTTGACATCTTTGGCTACGGTTCCCTGAATCTCCCTGGTCATCATAGCTATTGATCATGCCAGCTGGGGATTTTGGGAGCTGTAGTCCAGAAGCTAAGGTTTCTCCCCTCTGAACAGAGGTGTCCACAAGTAAGAAGCCAACGAGGTTTGTCATGCAGGGAGAGTAGCTGCTTGGAGGAAGACAAGAGTTTGTTTCCACGCTGAGAAACGTTCTCATTAATTGGGAAGGAGGAAGATGAGAATTCCTCTGAAATGTGTGAACACAAAAGGCCAAGAAGAAACACCACATGTGTGTATGACACAATTCACAGTTGAAACCTTAGAGATTTCGCACACAGATCCACAGGCCTATTCGTTCCCACAGGGTTGCAATATTTTGTTAATTGATTTGAAGCATTTTGGTTAATTAAAAATGCATCCTCCGTAAAGCGACAGATTTTCTGAACATTTAAAAAGTGACTTGTGAAGCGAGGGCTATCTTTCCCCCCTCAAATGCAGGTGACAAGTGTCCTTTTAGAAGAGAATGACTCTCAGAAGGCCTCTTTGAAGTTCTTTGCTCAGAAATGTGTGCTCCCTCTTACGCAGTGGCCTCCATGTTCGAGGCTCAGTGTGGGGCTGATGGAGTGAAGCCTGTTGCCCTCAAGCCTCATCTTTTGGCCTTTCCCGGAGGCAACCTCTTGGCTATTACGAGAAATAGTCTGAGCATATCTGCTTTTAAACTCCTCTTATAACGGACAAGGTTCATTTGGAATCTACATGCGTTCAATGTGTATAAATCGTATCAGCTGGGTTTTTTTAAAATGCACATGATTAATTGGCTGGGATGGAGTTTTAGAGGAATTCTCCTAGAACCATGTAATTTGGAATTATCTGTATTTGCGGAGTCCTGGAGCAAAGAGCCATCCCAGACAGTCTGGGAGGCAGAGAAGACAACCATTTCTTCCTGCTTGCCAGCGACCAGCTACTCAGCACCCTCCTTCTCTCTCTCTCTCTGTCCCTTAGGCTTTTGAGCCCGCAACTGCCTTTGACGCTGGAGACTACTACTGTGAGGCAGTGAACAAAGTAGGGTCTCCTCAGAAGTCAGACATCGTGCACATGGATACTAGTAAGTAACTGGTAGCTCTAGTTTTCCTGCTCTCCTCAGGAGTCAGTCCTGCCTGGTGTGAACTTTGGGGGTGGTGCCTTCTGCTGTTGCCAGTGGAGAATGCTTCCAAAACTGGGTCACTGTGACTAAACCATATGCCTTCATATGTGACACCAGTGGTTGTTGTTAAGGAAATAAGAGTGTTCTCTGTATGTGTGTGAGAGAGATACACACAGGCATAGTCCATGGAAGTCAACGGTCAAGTAAGCCATCCTGGTGTCTTCTCGTGGCATTTTTATTTACTTTGGAAAGGCTGATGCTTCACCTTTTGATCAAAACTGCCTTCCTGCCTGCTTTACAGTATCATTAAAAAGCCTTGTCATAGAACAATGAATAAAATGAAATGTTTTGAAGATGAAGGACAGTCCTGGAAGTAAACGTTTCCCTGATCAGATGCTTTGAAGGCTTTGTGGGCTGTGGAAAGCACCACATGGAATCAGGTTGCAGGAAATATAATGTCATAAAAGGAAATCTTGAGCAACCCACCAATGAACTGGGATCTGATTTGGTACAACTGGCTTTAATTAATAATATAAATGTGCATCCATGTATCCATGCACCTCATAGTTTGTGTGTAGATGTGTCACACTCAATTCAACAAGATGCTCTCAATAGATCTGGAGGGTGACCTTCCCTGCAGAAAGTGAAGTGTCTGAAGGAGGGCATCCTATTGTCAGTGGGTCAGAAGCCTGGAAGATCAAAGCCTCGGGTCACGTGGCATGTGTCTGTGCGTGGTGGCAGATCATTGCTTCAGACTAGCTGCTCTCCATATGCAGAAGGGCAGCTCAGTGAGAGGGGTGTTTGGAGGGGAGGGGGCTGATACACACACATGCCCCTTCTCAGGTGTGCCATAGGTTGAACAGAATCAGCATCTTGGGGTTGTAGTGATTTCCTTCATCATGTAGGTTGCTCCAGTGTGTTGCTGAAATGTTCTCCATTCTTTCTCTCCTCCCGCCCCGCCATGCTCAGGCAAAATAAACGTGGGTGGCATTGTGGCAGGTGTGGTGGTCCTTCTGCTCCTGCTGGGTCTGGTGATCTTCGGCGTCTGGTTCGCTTACAGCCGAGGCTACTTCAGCAGTAAGTAGCCAGCAGCACATTTGGGCTGTTGAGTGTTCAGGGTGATCAAGTTTGGCTTTTCCTATCCAGTTGACTCCTTGGGAAGATTTGAGGGTTTGGAGACTGACTGAATCTCCTGTGCCTTTCCCCGCCCCTACTATTCAGTTTTATCCACATAGGAGCCAAATCTCCATGCTAGCCTGTAGAAACTGTGAATTGCTATTCGCAAAAGTTTTTTTTTTTTTTGAGCTCTGTGATGAAACCAGGACTCAGATATATTATTACCCTCCACAAACGAGATAATAAGCGAAAAGGAATAGGGATTTAAAACACAGTAGATTAAAATCAATTAAATATTATGGGTAATACAAAATAATGTTCTACCCAAAGCATGTCAAACTATTAGCTTAGTTAACAGTTGAACAGGTATTTTAATTGCACTGCAAGAAGACTTCCACTGGATTCACAATCAAGGGGTTTCTTGTCTTCAAGAAAGTAAGTGAGATATGAGAGACAGTTTTAGTTTGATTAGCTTCACTGGGGCATAAATAATTATGAAGTTTTCTGTAATGATGTTCAAGACCTACTGAAAGGGGTAGTTATAACACCCTGGTGCAAAGGTTTTCTATTTCTGGATGGTAGAGGAATTCTAGATAGTTCAGAAACACTCTCCCACTCCCTATGGCAAAAGCAGATGCCCTCCCAGCAGTTGGGACTCAGTGGTCCCACACCTCTGGGTATTGGGAGAGGCAAGGACCATTTTGGGAGGCCCAGAAACCTGCCAGGAGTTGTACCAGTCCCTCCTGATGAAATGGAAAAGACCAGATTTTCTGCTAAACTCCCATCCCAATTTTCTGCTGAAATAAGTTATGGGGGTCAAAACCTGAGCTATAGAGGAAGGGTTGCCCCTAAAACATGACTCCAGAGCTTCAGGCAGACTTCCAAGTGGTCCAAGACCCCAGATCTGTGCCTCCCCTGTTCTGCCGTGATCCACTGCACCATGGTGGTTCCCTTGTGTGGGTCTGGATCTCTGCTCCACTTTTGTCAAGTGGATTGACATGTGTCTCTGTAGGCAGCTGGGTGGAGTTGTGTTTTCTCAATAGGTTCATGTCATCATGCAGGCTAAGATAGAAAGGCAGAGAGTGCTTGGCGAGGAGCGTGAGTTAAAGCTTTCCCTGTGGGGCTAATGTCCCTCTTTTTCCTTTGTTTTCTCTTTCAGAAGGAAAAGAGTGAGTAGAAGCTCGCCCAGTTGGAGGTGTTGGACAGACCGTCACCTTTCTGGCCAGTTACCCGTCTCCCAAACTTGCACCAATCCTGACCCAAAGCTTGTCCAAGATGGGGAAAGGACTGGGTTTTAGGAGCTCCCAGGGTACCTGGAGCCCCCGGGAGGCCCGTGGGAATGGCCGAGAGGAAAGACGTCCCACAGGGTCTGCCCCCAAGACTGGCTCTCTCAGGCCTTGGAAGTAGCAAATGATAATAACTAGTTCCTTGCAGCGAATTCCTTTTCCTGCAGCAAAGGTAGAACCTATTTACATGGCGACTGTAATGTAACAAGGGCTCTCTTGAGTCCTTTTGTGGTATGACTCTGAAATGTGAGTTAGTTTTCTAGTTCTGGGGCTGTGGCCTCCTCTAAGCAGGAGAGGGGGAAGATCACACGGCTCCGGCGCTGCCTTACAATGCTGCCCCCTGGTTTGTGAGGTTTCGGCAGGAAATGAGACGACAACAGAGTAGGCTGTTGCTTAAAGGTTTGCTTAAAGGTTTGCTTTGAATTGCTCTTGAGAAACAGGGAAATAAATTATTACGCTATAATTACAACTGTAATACAGGGTGGGTGTGCTTGGAGCTCTAATTGTAACTATCTGCCCTTGTAAATGTAGCCTTCCAAGCTCTAGACTCTCTGAAGTCAGGGACTCAGGGACTGGTGTTTCTCTCTTGTTGCTCTGTTTCTCTTTCTTTGGGGAAAAGGCTGCTTTTAATCCTGTTTCTCTCCTCTCCTTCCCCAAACCTCTTCTAGCACCACCAATAAGAAGGTCATTTACAGCCAGCCTTCCAACCGAAGTGATGTAAGTAGAACAGGAACTTGATCTGCCTTTCCCCCGCCCCCACCCCCCATGGGTTTGGCCACAAAGGCAGCCACAGTTGCAAGTGGTGTCTTGGTTGCCACACAGTAATGGGGTTACAGTCTCTTGCTGTCGAAAACATTGTGTGGCACCTTAAAGACTACAGTAGGATGGTTGCATCCACGGTATCAGTACCTGCGATTTCATGTATCAGCTGCCTGAAAATAATAAATTAAAAACACAGATATGCTGTATGTGTTTCCAATGTGCATTACCAGAACTGGCCACTAGAGGGAATCAGAAACTAATATCTCTGTGTATACAGGACTTCTATATCCGCACTTTCTGGCATCCACAGGCTTGGAACTGATTGCCTGTGGATGTCACAGTCCTACTGTATCTGCTATATTTTAATGTGAGCTTCTGTGGATCAAGTCCACTTCTTCTGATATCTCAGGAAATGGACTTGATCCACGAAAACTCGCATTAAAATGAGCAGATAGTGTTTAAGGTGCTATGTGATGTTTTTGTGTCGTTGCGGTTTTAGTTTTGGTTTCTCTTTCTGATATGCTTGCACAGACTAACACAGCTGCTGCTTCAAAGTCCCTCGCTGGACTGTATTATGCACAACTGACATTGCTCGGCGGGGGGGGGGTTAGAAGAGGGAAAAGGGGGTCTCTAACCCAGAGTGGCTGAGTGGCTACTCAGCTGCTAGACAAAACTCCAAGCAGTCACCTTCATTGGTCCTTCCTGCGTCATATGGGGCCAGTAATGGCAAGTATTTATGGTTAAATTCAGCTGTATGGCTTTGGTCACGTGACTATTACAAGAATTCTGGTACATGGAGCCGTGTGGTGCAGTGGTTAAACTGCAGTACTGCAGTCAGGACTCCGCTCACAACTTGAGTTCAATCCCAATGGGCTCAGGTAGGCAGCTCAGGACTGACTCAGCTTTCTATCTTTCCAAGGCTGGTAAATGGAGTACCCAGTTGGCTTGGGGAGGGTGTGTAGCCTCCTACATAATTAAAAACTGCACTGCCCAGAGAGTGCTTTAAGTGCTATGGGGTAGTATACAAGCAGCATGCTTTGCTTTTGGTGGTGTGAGACTAAAAGCTTGGAAAATTTGCTTCTTTGGACTGAAGGCTCCCAGGATTGCCATGCCCCAGATGGCTGCTGGTGTTTTTTGGGCCAAAAAAGCAGTTTTTGCAACAGGCTGCCTTCAGAGATAATATGGGGACCATCAACCAACCTGCGGCTCAGGGCAGGGAAGAAGGGAAGACTCCACAGCTTTGCTGCTGGCTGGGCAGGCCAGGGCTCTTGGGAGCCACCGTTGGGGAGCATCTGGAAAGCCACCCCTTTCCTGCCCTGGTTTAGAGCCATGAGGATGATGTGCCCTGAAACGGATGGGTTCTGAATGTGCACTGTACTCCTTTTTTTCTCCCCTGCAACTTTAAAAAGGCATCCCTTTGTCTCTCCATTTTACAGGGTGAATTTAAACAGACGTCTTCTTTCTTGGTTTGACTGCTGCCCTCACCCTGTCTTACAGCGTGTATTATTCTTCCTCCAAGGCTGTTGTAAATTTTCTTTACAGATCTTTGTAATTAAGAGTGATTTTAAATGTGTTTTTTTTAAAGAAAAGATTTAGTCTGCCTTGTTATTGTTGTTTTGAATGAGTGCCTTAAAGTCTACTGTCCTACCAGGTGAAACTTCATTGAACATCTGGCCATTGAGCTGCTATAATTCTGAATTCTGGACTCCTAGATGAATCTTTTGGCCACTGAAAAGTGACATCTTGTGATCACAAAGTGATTTATAACAAGATCACAACCAGTAGCTGTGAAAACATTGTGGCCTTCTTGGGTGGCTTGTTGAAGTCACCCACCCAGTCGTCGGGTACCTTGCTTTTCTTTTAAAGAGAACCAGGTAGTGATTTAGAGGCTGAACTGCTCCCCTGGAAGCAAGAAAAAGAAGAGACCAACGTGGAGCCAGATCTGACCCATACATCTGCTACTCTGCTTATGCATTCAGTTCTTGAGTGGGTCTAAACGGCATCTCCCTGCTGCTATGGTCCAGCGCCAAACCAGATGCAGGGTCAGCCGACAGAAGCCACTGGGTCTAATAAGGGGTTCGGACTGTAGCTGATCCTAGTGTGGCGTTTCTGTAGGGGGCAGGTGGGGAACCTTGGCCCTCCAGATGTTTTTCATCTGCAACTCCCACCTACCCTTAAGGGATCATGGGAGTTGTAGTCCAACATATTTGAAGGGCCAGTTTCTCTACCCCATCATAGAGACTTGAGTAAGAGCTCTCTTTGTGATCAGCGTGTTTTAGACTTGACATTATGAACTTCTGTGCCTTTATAAATATCCATTGTGGCATTCTTGTACAATTTTATATGCTGGACACAGAACTAGAAATAAATGTATTTTGTTTGATCCATGGTCTCTGTTTTGAAACTATCTTGCGCTTTGTATAAAAATCACCGGTGTACAGTGAAAACCAAGAAGCTGTTCAGAGTTAACCCTCAACCAACATGGGTGCTGGCAGGAACCCTGGTTTGCCATCCTGTCTTTTCCCTGTCTTTTGCCACTTGCGGATCACTTGAAAGTGGTTCGGGAGTTGTGGTTTGGGGGCAACCATACATATAAACTGAGGATGAGCCCCGGGACATATTTGGAAGACGTGGCTCCACCATTCTTTTCCATTAGGTGTTGTGGCTGGCGGTGATGGGATCTGCTGTCAAACAGTGGCCATCAGTTGAACGTTAGCTGACAGCACATAACGCCATCCATTTTGGATTCTGATTTCATGGAAGACTTTCTGGCAAAGCCTTCTCTGTGGTGTCATCCACCAAGTGGAACAGTCTCCCCAATGATAGGTAGATGGTGGGTATATTTCTACCTCAACTAAAACCCAGTTTGTTTTCCAAGAGATTTTTCCCAAGCTTGGTCCTTCTCTTTAACACTGTCAGCTACCCATGGTTTTGAATGTATTAATGGACAGGATTGTTTTGTTATTTTTAACCACTGGGTTTTGTATCTGTTTTTAATTGTAAACTGCTTTGTGATTATTATTTTTAGAAATGAGATGTCATCACAGAAGGGCTCTAAATTAAATGGATTTTGAACCACTTCAGGTGTCTTTTTTTAAAAAAAAATCCTGTATCTTAAGGCTGTTGCTGACATCACACTGGGATAGCCAACTTGGCCAATCGGGAGAGGTCCTGCATTACAACCCAGTTTCTATAGCAGCTCCAGGCCGGGCCAGAAGGAAGAAACTCTTTTGCTTGGCCAAGAGCCGGAAGGGACCACCATGTAAGCTAACGGATCCTCCCCAGTGCCTCAGGAGAATGCCGGCCACCTCATCGCCCTGGACTTCCAGGCACTGGCTGTTGAGCAGCAAAGGAAGGGAAGAATATGATGATGAAAACCAGAGGGAAAGGTGTTTCGTCCCAAAGGAAGGTGGGGCATGGAAGCCCTGTAGGGAAATGGTGGGAGGGCAAGAGGGCTTTCTGTAGCTCCCATACTTGTAGGACTACATGGTTTCGGTTGCAAAGGATTTATTCCCCCCCCCCCAGCTTTTTCTCTGTGTTGGGAAGACCATAAGCATCAATTCTCTAAATAAACCCCATCAACAGTTGTCTATTTCCAGCTGCTTTTTTTTTTCATGTGGACAGATGGAGCCCTGGTGACTGCATAGCACATGTAATCTTCCAAGACAGGTTTGGAAGTGAAGAAAGTGAACAGGGTTATTCTAGACAGTGTTACTATAATCTATGAAGACAAACTGATGATTTCTCTCTTTGGGTGATGGTGTGTGGTGGTTTGAGTTCACCATAGTACTCTCAGTGGCAAGGATGCTTGGTTCCCCTCTCCTGAAAGATTACCTTTAGTAGATTTTCTATGGGGGAAATGAATTCATATGGGTCAGTGTTTTATCATATGGTTTCTGCTCACTCATTGCCATGTGCTTACTTTTTCGTGTTGCCTCGTGTTTTATCATATGGTTTCTGCTCACTCACTGCCATGTGCTTACTTTCACGTTTCCTGTACAATCACAGAGTAATGGAGTTGGAAGGGGCCTCTAAGGCAATCGTGTCCAACTCCCTGCTCAAAGAAGGAATCCAAGCCAAAGCAGATCTGACAGATGGTGTCCGATTTTCTCTTGAATGCCTCCAGGATTGGAGCATTCACCGCCTCCTGAGTTAGGCCTCCAGGGTTGGAGCATTCACCACCTCCTGAGTTAGCTGGTTCCATTGCTGTACTGCTCTAACAGTTAAGACGTTTTCCCTGATACTCAGCCTAAATATGGTTTATTATAGCTTGAGTCCAAAACGTTTTTCCTGATACTCAGCCTAAATATGGTTTACTATAGCTTGAGTCCATTATTATATGTCCTGTACTCTGGGATGATCAAGAATGGATCCTGCCCCTCCTCTCTATGACTTTCAAGTATTTGAAAAGTGCTATCCTATCTCTAGGTTGACCACCATCTGTTGCAATGGCAGGAAAGGCGAAGGAAAGCAGAATCACACTGACGGAGGCACAGATCAAAGACCTTAAAAAAACCTTTGAAAAAGGAAGTTATTCGGAGCTCTCTGGCAGACTAGAAGAGACTCTGGCCTCTCTGGAGAATATCTGCTTAGATGTTGGTGTCACTGGGGAGCCTGGTGTTGGCAAGTCCACTTTCATTAATGCCTTCCGGGACCTGCACGAGGATGATGAGGGTGCTGCTCCTACTGGGAACGTGGCCTCCAATAAGAACCCTGTGCCGTACTCGCACCCAAAATATGCCCATGTCATTCTGTGGGACCTGCCAAGTATTGGCACACCCAATTTCCACGCTAAAGATTATTTAGAGGATATCCAAGTCTCCCACTATGACTTCTTTGTCATCCTTGCTTCCTCACAGTTCACCTCCCTTCATGCCAGCCTGGCTCATTATCTGAAGAAGTCCGACAAAGACGTCTACTTTGTCCGCTCCAAAGTAGACGAGGACCTGGAGGCAATACGACAAAACCAACCCGCTGGCTTTAATGAAGCTGCTGCCCTGGAGAAGCTCCGCGAGGAGTGTGTGCAAGATCTCAAGGCTGCAGGAGTCAAGTCTCCCAAGATCTTCCTTATTTCCAACTTCCTGCTTAGTAGGTATGACTTTCCCCTCCTTGGGGAGACCCTGTGGAAGGACCTGGATCTACAAAGGAGCCACTCCTTTCTCCTTGCCACCCCTAACATCTCCCATCGCCTCCTGGAAAAAAAGAAGGCCGCCATGATAGAGCACTTGTGGCTAGTCTCTGCTGTAGCCTGTGGCCTCCAAGCTGAATCCATCCATGAGATTTCAGTCATCTGCAACGTTGACCTCCTGGTCAAGATGCTTCAGGGTTACTGCATCAGTTTTGGCTTGGAAGAGTCCTCTCTAAGGAAAGTAGCTGAACATGCTGCACAACCTGTTGAGCATCTCAGATCTCTGGTCAAGTCCCCATTGGCCAACGAGATCGCCAAAGAGCAGGTGGTAGAGTTGCTGATACAGGCTGCCAGCAAGCCGCCAAAGCTCCCAAAAGAACTGGTGACTATGGCCAGCATGGGGTTGTCGTTCGCGGTGGTCTATAATATGCTTAAGACCTTTGTGGACAACATGGCTGGTGATGCCCACAGAATCCTCGTTAAAGTGTTTATGAGCCAGAAGCCCAGAGGGGAATCAGAGATAGAAATCCCAAACGTCTCAGAGACAGAGAGGCCATCCTTATAGAGGGCTGAGGTGGCCTTCTTGTTCTAATGCACAGCATTCTTGTTCTAATGCACTCTGGACATGTTTGGAGGTCCATGGAGTGGGGGCCTGAAGACTTTCTGTCTTTGTGACTTCTGGCAGGCTTCCAAGCCACTTGCTGACATAAATTACCCGCTGCTGAATTTTGATGATGCCCCAGCTTGAATAAATGACTGCTAGGTCAAAGCAGGGAGGACATAGAAAGCTGCCTTCTGTCAGGTCGTTCTGTCCATCGCTTCCTGTAGAGTCTTCTCTGTCTGACAGATGGACAGATTAGGCCTCCTGTTCAATCCAATATGGCTCCTGCCTTATTAGGGCCCGAGATTTCTCAAGAGTGGTGGCCCAAGTGTTCTCCAAGTGGTACTCTCCAGCAGGCCAGGGTCCAACAACATCTTCTTTCTTGTGTTGCCTACTGATTGAGATGAAGAGATCTACTGCCCTGGTTGCGTATGTCCATTCTGACTGGTGGCCTCTAGTAGCTCAGTCATCCACAAATAAGAACATCCAGCTCTCTTAAAGCCATCTGAGTTGGCAGCCATCTTTTCCTCTTGTGGCCATGGCTCTAGTTTTAGATCCCCAACCCTCATACTTCCTAGCCCCCTCCCTCAGCAAGAATCCACAGAAAAAGCACATTCCAATTTCCCCATTTGACACAGATCCGGAGAAAGAATTTTGAAAACTGGCTACAGAAGCCTTTATTGATGGCTTCTGTGGATGCAGATTTGTTGGTGGCCATTACAGAGGAACCATCTGCCAGCCTTCCCTTTCTGGCAAGAAGGAGGAAGAAGGAAATCCAAGAGGAGAAGGAAGAAGGAAATTAGTGCAAGAGTAGCAATCATACACGTAGATCTAGAAAATACAAGAGTGGGGGAAAACCACACTCGTGCCCCTTTGAGTAGATACTTTACAATGGGTCCCATAACCAGTGTAGACCACTTGCTACATCTGTTCATGCTCTCGTCTGAGATCAGAGACAGTGAAGCTTATGATCATAGCAACATCCTGTCCCCTCCTTTCCTTCTCTGAGTGATGTGATCGGCATTGAGTGCCATGTGCACTTAGGTTTTCAGTGGCCTACATTTAATTGCATCCATCATGACCCGAGTCCCCATCCAGACATGTGTATGCACACAACAACGGCCTTCAGTCCGATCAACACATGGAGTCAGTGGTGCGGTGGAAACCCAGGTTGAGGGCTGGAAGCCCTAGGATTTTCCAAGGTGACACCACCTGATACTTCCTTAGATTGCTTCCCTGTTCCCTCCCAGTTTAGTTTTTTGGAAGAGAAGTAGATTTTCCCAGGAATTCTGTAAGCTACTCCTGTCGCAATGCAAAGTGTTTGAGGGTGATTTGACCCTGGTTGGGCAAGTAAGAGTAATTAGCTTTACAAAAAAACTGCTCCTTATTGGTTTATATGAACTGATCTAATTCCTGTCTGCATTCTTGTTATGGGCTGGTGGTACTTGGATGGCAGGCGGGAAGGGGGAGGGGACTATCGCGATAAGCCTCCACACTTCCAAATTTTAGTTCTGACTCTGTGCCTGCTAAACAGATAACTATTAGCATTATTCAAGTGAGGGAGGGAGGTCTTTGAGGAAGAGCAGATGCCACATTAGATGAGATTGCAGCTTTGCATTTTGAAGCATAGCTGCTTTAAGAAGTAAAGGGTGCCTGGTTATCCTTCAACGAGGTTTAGAATTTTCACAGCTGTGCAAATTAGCTTTCTTTGGGGATTGGTCATCAGGAGGTAAACGAGAGCTGCTTTGAAGACTGTGGGTCTCTGAAGGGAAAAGTTATCCCCTTTTAATTGAATAGGTGGCATTTTTTTCAATTTCAGCCCACAGTTTAGAGGGCTGGGGAGGGGAGGGACAGCCTGGATTCCTCTATCAGACTGCATAACATTGGGAGGGAAACAGCAGGGCAAGTTGTGTAACATCACACTGCAAACAAACCAGAGTGTTTGCTCTGTGGTTGGTATTAGGAAATCTGGATACCCTTCAGGGTGCAGCTACTTTGGTGTTAGCCAGCCAGTATCTTCCACCACAGTTTTTTGGCACATTGGTATAAAAAGGGGCTACTGGCCGACTTTAGATGTTTGCCCCATTTTGTATGCAGATGGCAGCAACTGCATTCGCTGACTGAAACAGGACGTCCTGGGCCTGCTGCTGAAGTGGGCAAAGCCTTCCTGCTTTCAGACCATCCCCACTTGCCACCAAGGTTTCCCGGGGCTCTGATGAAATCAAGGTCTCCTCTCAAAGAGCGGGAAATGGAACAATGCCTGACCTCGCTGCCCTTCTGCCCAACTTCCAGGAAACCTCGACACAGGCTGAGCCTGCAGGGAAGTCCAGGACTGGGAATTGCAAACAGTGGAACCAAAGACAGAATGTCCAGGGCTGACAAAAAAAAGGGGGAGAAATGCAGCCCTCAAAGCACCATGATGCTATCCCAAACCAAAATTATGTGGACATTATATTCTTTTAGCTTGGGGCCAGCAGTTTCCAGATGTTTGGGGCCTCCAAAAAGTGACATTCTGAAAGCAGAATGTTATAGTGTCACTTACTTTTAAATTCACATTCAGCTGGCTAAATCTGAAATGGTGAGGGACTCAGCTGGAAGAAAGGCTGAGTTAGCAGGGGCCAAACATGACTCTGGACACACTCCATTTCAACATGGTATCTGAATTTATTTCTTATTTATGGAGAACGCTCAGAAAGTCCCTGCCATTTCTGATGGAGAGATGCTCATACAGACAGATCTCTTTCTGCAAGATCACAATAGCCAGGATTTGAATGATAGAGAGGGATTTGTATGAGATGTGCGGAGAAGAAAAGATTTTTAAGAAGACTTGTTTAGAACAACGGAAGATCGACCTATGAACCTGTTTTTGAGGACCATCTTGTAGTTATAGCAAATTCCACTAGATGGCAACAGAGCCTTTGAAACGGAAAATGAACGAGGTGGGCTATGCAGTTGAGATGGGCACAAACTGGTTCATGCCCGTCTCTTCTGTGCAGTCCTTTTGCAAAAAACAAACAAACAAAAAACCATGGACCGTTGCCAATTAGCACCTTCTTAGCATCCTGAGGCAGCTTCTGCTTCTGGAGTTCCATGCAAACAGAGCTCTCTCTGCCCCTACTGACGCTTGCAAATAGTCCATTGGACAGCTACAGCAATTTCAACCTTGGAAACCCAGTTTCTGCAGGCGTGAATCACAATGGTCTATTAGTCAGGGTTTCACCACCCAGGCTCCTTCTTCTCTTTTTGTTTACCCTCTGTATTATTTCCATTACAACTCGAGACCCTGAGATCTGAAGACATTGGTAATTGCGAAACTTCCTACCACACCCTTTGGAGTTTTATTACTCTTTGGACTTATGTTATTCTAGTTTCCTTGATGATTTCCTACTCTCAGTCTGTTCCACTCTGCTTGCTTCCCTGATGATCCATCTTCACCTCCAGCTGACAACGTGGGCTGCCTATGATTTAGGTAGGAGTCTTTTCTCCCCACACCAGGAGATTCAGGCTACAGTATTCCCTTGGGTCTCCTGCCATAATTCTAGCCACACTTGACTTAGTTTTGTGTCCTAAATCAGCTGAAATCGGTGTGCTCAAGGTGATGATGGGTGGTGTCGTTCTAGAATGCAAGCTATCTCTGACCTAGGATCTTCTGTTGCAAAAGTGTTGGTTCTTAGCCAGACAGGAAATTCTCACCTGGGGAACCCCCTCCCCTTACTTCACAAAATACATATCTCTTCTGGAAATAACTGCTTTAGACCAGTGGTTCTTAACCTTGGGTTACTCAAGTGTTTTTGGACTGCAACTCCCAGAAGCCTTCACCACCAGCTGTGCTGGCTGGGGTTTCTGGGAGTTGCAGTTCAAAAACACCTGAGTAACCCAAGGTTAAGAACCACTGCTTTAGACAATGAGCACATTTGTTAATTATCCATCTAACCTCTTCTATTCAGCATATGCAAACAGATCCTTATATGTCATCTGTTAGGGTCTGGCTGTAAGCCACCGGGAAGCTGAGCTCACACACACAACACACACATACACACACACAGCAAGGGGCTAATAAAAGCAGACCAAGGAGACTGAACGCAGCAGAAGAGCAGAACTTCAAAAGGTGAGCTATTGATTACATTTTCAGTTAAACCATTGCAAAGAAGGACTGTTCAGGAATTGTATTAACTGGCACCAGTAGCTACGTCTGTGTACCTGTGCAGAACTCAGGATATATACAGCATGATCTAGAAGCCTGGCAGGTTGAAGTGTGGGAGAGACGGAGATGTAAGGATATCAGATATACAAGGATGGGACCCTTGTTCCTCAAGGCTCCTTCTGGCCTTCCTACCCACCATCATCACCATCATCCTTCTTTTGGGGCCTTGCTTAATTATAGACCTGGAAATGTAAACCTTTATTCTGATTCCAGAGCCAGGCTACTTACTGGCTGGCCAAATTTCAGGTACTGGCAAATTGAGGCTTTGAATTCCTGAGTGACCATTACGTGACAATTACGCACACTTTTGTTGTTGCTGTGCTGTCAAGTCACTGCCAACACCTGGCAACCCCATGAACAAGCAATCTCCCAAACTGTCCTCAACTGCCCTGCTTTTGCAAACTCAACCCTGTGGCTTCCTTTAGGCAGTCAGTCTATCTTGTATTTGGGTTCCCTCTTTTCCTGCTGCCTTCCAGCTTTCCCAGCATGACTGCCTTTTTCAAGAGATAATCCTCCCTCCTCACAATATGCCCAAGGCAGGGCAGCCTCTGTTTTGTCATTTTTGCCTCCAGAGAGAGTTTATTTGCTCTGGGACCCACTTGTTTGTCTTTCTGGCAGTCCAGGGCCACAAAGCTCTCCTCCAGCAACATATTTCAAACAAGCCAGTTTTTCCCCCGTCAGCTTTCTTAACTATCCAGCTTTCACATTTATGCAGTTAGACTTTCATATGCACACGGGTTCCTCTCTCTCTCTCTCTCTTCTAATAATATGAATTATGATTTTCATGCCACCTTTTACTGGGTCCGTCTTAAAGATTAGAGCTGCAACTTGGTGCTGCAACCTGGTGTTTGAGCCATCTGACCCGTATTTTACGCACGTGTGGGTCTGTATCCCTTAACTGGAGTACAAGACAAAAAGCGGAGTCAAGGTTTTGACCTCCTGAAACAAGCTTGTCTGCTTTGGAAGAGGTAGCCGCGTTACTCTGTGCAAGCATCTCAGGCAAAATCCAAATAAACAAAACAAAAGCAAAACAAAAAGAGAGGAAAAAGCATGCAACACCTTAAAGATTAACTACAGTATTATATTTTAGTGTGAGCGTTCGTGGACAAGTCCACATTGTCAGACATTTATTTATTTTTTATTGAATTTCTACCCCGTCCATCTAGACCAAAGGAGGAAGAAATGAAAGCCTGTCTGTGTGACACACTGTGGAAATGTTGCAATGTTGAGAACACATTATTCTTCTGCAAACAGCTAAAATCTGCTTGAGAAACACTAATTGACAGCCTTGCCTGCCCTATTTCCATAGAAAACAATTAGTCAATAGCAATGAATCTTGACTAGGGACGGGTTTTGTGGCAGTTGTAGTCCAAACACAGAACTCTTCGGAAGTGTGGCATGGCACAATTTAATGCCTTTCCTGTTTAGACAGGAAATTCGATATGATGGCCTTTGCCATCTGCTCCAGATCTGTTACTGTGTAGATCAATATACGCCTGTAATTCAATGGCTTTATAGAAATAAGAAGTTTCTGTTTAATTGCACCAGGTTTTTGAATGCTTAGCTGAGAGTTTAGCCAGCTACTATTCTGGGGCAAGCTACAGATGTCCAAACAGATAAACATAAACACAAAAAAGATAGATAATATAAATCATTTTAAAAAGTAGCTTTTTGTTATATTTTGTTGTTGTTAATGAGTTTCTATTTGCTGTGCAACTTAAATTTCTGGAAAGTGGTTTCAGGCCATGAGAAGGATTTGTTGCCACAGGCTAACTGCTTTCTAGATGTATTTGCCTTGGTAGGACTCTTTAAACTGCTTACTCAGATATCTCTCCTGTCTTTCTCCTCTCAAGGCTAAACTACACAAGATACTGTATATACAAGTAGTGCTCCTTTATCCGGCAAAAAACATCTAATTGTAATAACATCTTAAAAGCAAAAACCTGGTTAATCACTGCAACAATTGATCATTGCCACTTTTGCAGGTCGCATTGCCAAGAAAAGCATATCAAAAGAGTTTGTGTTACTGGACAAAGGCTGTTCTCACAGCAAGGAAATACATGTTTCCCTGAACATTTATTTTGGCTCCCTTTTTTTATCCTCCAAAAGATTCCACGATGAAGTATTTTGTTCTCTTAATTCAGCTCCTGGCTGTCCTTCCTAAGGGAAAACTGACCAGTAAGTATGTGCTGCTGATTATGGCAGCATTTTTTCTTTTGAGGGATGCTGTTTTTTTAATTCTATATAAATATGGCCCTTGGCATGTTCATAGAATAATGGAGTTGGAAGCGGTCTCTAAGACCATAGAGTCCAATCCCCCTGATCAAGGCAGGAATCCAAGTCAAAGCAGATCTGACAGATGGCTGTCCAATTTCCTCTTGGCTGCCTTCAGCGCTGGAGTTCTCAGCACCTCCTGGGGTCAGAAGTTCCATGGTTGTATTGCGTTAACAGTTAAGAAATTCTTCCTGATTTTCAGCCTAAATCTGGCTTCCTGTAAATTGAGCCCATTATGACATGCCCTGCCCTCTGGGATGGTCAAAAACAACCCTGCCCCTCCTCTGGATGACAGCCTTTCAAATATTTGGAAAGTGCTATCTTATCTCCCCTCAGTCTTCTTTTCCCAAGGTGTTCAGTTCCTTCAGTCATTCCTCCTAGATTTTGGTTTCCAGCCCCCTGACCATCCTTGTTGCCCTCCTCTGGACATGTTCCAATTTGTCGGCATCCTTCTTCAGCTGCAACCAGTGCAGAGTGGGGTGGGGGTGGGGGGCTAGCACCTCACGGGATTTCAAGACTAAATGCTTGTATTTTCAAACGCTGTTCCCTCTGCAGGCTGCAACAGCTACCTCAGCTCAGTGAAGCAGGATGTCCTTAACCTGCTGATTAGCTGGGAGAGCAAGTCCGGCTTTCCAGACGAGGCAGGTCCATCTAAGAAGCTTCCCCGGAGCTGCAAGGAAATCAAGGATGCCTCTAAGTGGGCTAGGGGTGAGGAAAGCAAGAGGTGGCTGACTTATGGCCCATTGAATCAACAGCGTATATTAGAATAAAACCACAGTCCTCTCTCTCTCTCTCTCTCTCTCTCTCTCTCTCTCTCTCCCCCTGTCTGTCTGTCTGTCTGTCTGTCTGTCTGTCTGTCTGTCTGTCTCTCTGTCTCTCTGTCTCTCTGTCTGTCTGTCTGTCTATGTAAAATACTTTTATCCCACCTTTCTCCTTCAAAAGGACTCAAGGCAGCTCATACAATTAAAAGACAGTATTTTGGCAGTGCCCAGAAGTGTCTTTGCACATTTAAAACTATAGTACAGTAGTGTACCAGCTTCGTCCATTTCTTGAGAAACACGATCTGGCTATGGTGACACATGCCTTAGTTACATCCCCGCTGGATTACTGTAACATGGGGATGCCTATGGAAAGTGAAACTTTAGTGGGTCCAAAACACAGCAGCCAGATTGCTAACGGGGGGGGGGGCTGGTTACAGGGATCACAGGGATCACATAAACCCCTCAACCCACCCCCACATTACAGCAGCTTCAATGGTTGCCCATCTGCTTCCGGGCACAATTCAAAGTGCAGGTTCTAGTCTATAAAGCCCTAACGTAGTGTGAGCCCAAGCTGTCACAAGGACTGCATCTATCTCCCTTTATGAGCCTGCTCGAGTGTGAAGATCATCAGGAGAGGCGTTCTTCTCGGTCCCACCACCCTTACAGGCACTTTTTGTGGGCACACAGGAGAGGGCCTTCTCTGTGGTTGCCCCCAGACTTTAGAATTCCCTCCCACTGGAGGCCAGGATGGCCCCGTCTAGGCTGTCCATCCACAAGCAGGCAGGGATGTTTCTCTTCGGGCAAGCTTTCCATCTCTCTCTTTTGACCCACAAATATCTTTTTGGCAGATGGCTTGTATTTCCTGGCCACGGAAGATGGCGAAGTCTACCAGACTTTCTGCGACATGAACACCAACGGAGGTGGCTGGACTTTGGTGGCCAGCATTCACGAGAACAACTTGCACGGGAAATGCACAGTAGGGGATCGTTGGTCCAGCCAGCAAGGCAGCAATGCCAACATCCCAGAAGGTGATGGAAACTGGGCCAACAATTCCACTTTTGGTTCAGCCGTGGGCTCAACGAGTGATGACTACAAGGTGAGCCTTTCCACAGAGAGACAACAATGTTAGGGAAGACAGAAGGGTGCTCACTTGGAAACGAAGCCTGCTAAGACCAATAGGGCTTGGAAGTGTCCGAGTGTGTTGGTCAGCAAAGGAAAGGAATGCTGGACTTGGCAGGCCAGTGTTCTGATCCTACTGGGGTCCTTTAAATGTCTGTATCATAGCAGGTTGTTATGTGCTATCAAGTCGCCTTCAAATTAGGGTGACCCTATGAATGAGTGATCTCCAAAATGCCCTGTCCTCAACTACCTTGCTCAGCTCTTGCCAACTCAGGCCTGTGGCTTCCTTTAAGAGTCCATCCATCTCGTGTTGGGTCTTCCTCTTTCCCTGCTGCCTTCCGCCTTTCCCAGAATGATGACTGTCTTTTCCAGAGAATCCTTTCTTCTCCTGGTGTGCTCAGGTGGACAGCCTCAGTTTCCACCTCTTTGCTTCCAGGCTTGATTTGATCTAGGACCCACTTGTTTGTCTTACTGGCCATCCAAGGTATCCTCAAAGCTCTCCTCCAGCATCACATTTCAAACAAATCCATTTCTTCCTGTCAGCTTTATTATTAACTGTCCAGTTTTCACACCCATACATGGCGATCGGGAATACAAGAGTGTGGATGATCTTGGTCTTGGTCTCCAGCAACACAACCTGACACTTGATGATCTTTTCTAATTCCTTCATTGTTGCCTTTACTAGTCCCAGGCTTCTTTTGATTTCTTGGTTACAACCTCCATTAAGACTGATGACTGAACCTAGATATATTTCAGTTCTTCTTCTTAGCAAGGTTGAATTTCAGGGTATTGTACAAAAATGCTAAAATGAAAGCACAGTTCCCCCCACCCTTTGCTGCTGATGTGCATTTTTTTTCCAACCAGAATCCTGGTTATTATGATATTGTAGCAAGAGACCTGTCCGTATGGCACGTCCCGAACAAAACCCCCATGCAGAAATGGCGGGACATGTCACTCTTCAGATATCACACGGAAACAGGATTCCTAATGGCAGAAGGTGGCAACCTGCTCCGGCTCTATGAGGTAATGGTGGCTGCCTGGTGAGTCGCTGTTTCTTCTAGGCTGCTGACTCAGTGTTTGGTGACAGTGACACCAGCAGAACATAGTGCTCCAATCAGCGGGAATGTGATCACACGATGCCTCACATTGCTTCACACTGGGCCCTGATTAAATAATAATTACAGAAAAATGCAATATTCTTTCCTAGATGGTCTGACTTTTGTGGTGGGGGGGTTTGGGACGCCACAAACCCAAACGAATTGCGGCTTGCTTCTCTTTTCAGAAATACCCAGTGAAATATGGTATTGGCAGCTGCCCAGCGGACAACGGGCCAGTGATACCCATCGTCTTTGACGCTGGTAATGCCCAGAAGGTAGCGGCGTATCATGCTCCAAACGGACAGCGTAAGTCTTTCTTCTTGTCCTTCAGTCCTGGAGCTCCTGATCTGGCAACATTCAGTGTCACCAGGATTGTGACCAGGATGCAGGTCCTAAGAGAAGGGGCATTAGCAGGGCTCAAGGGTGAGTCGAGAGAGTCCTGCCAATTACAGGACATCCTCTGCCAGTCTAACTCCTGCTTGCCCCCTCATTTGCCCTGTTATCATCATCGGTCATTCATACTCTGTTTTGTATTTCTGAAACTCAGTAGTTCAAGCTACACCCTGCCTGCTCTTGGTCCTCTCTTAGGGATGCCATGTAGATGGAAAGGGGACAGGAAGAAACCTTGCAGGATAGCACGGATCGAAAGCAAAGGATGCTAGAATAAACAGACAGCCTTTTCTTCTTAGGGGTGCACTACTTCTAGATACAGCATCACCATCCTGTCTAAAGATTCTATTCCCCCCATTTTTATTTTTATTTTTACGGTTTTGTCCTTGCTCTTTCCAGGAGAGTCTGTCCCTGGTTTTGTTCAGTTTCGAGTGTTTAATTACGAGAAAGCCGCTGTGGCCCTGTGCTCTGGAATTAAAGCCACGGGATGTCACACAGAACACGTGAGTCTCCTGCTGTTCCCTTGAACTCATTGCTGTCAGCTGTCCTTCCTGGCCTGCTTTTTTGTTTATTTCTCCCTCCCCGTGTTTCTGAAAGAGTTTTACCCTTGGCATGCACATGCTTGCATTTAACTTCTCAAAAAAATCTTTCGCATATTCCCTGGCCTTTCCTTCACCCTCCCAACATTTCTCATGCTTGGCTCTTCTCTGTAAAATCCCTGGCAGTTTCCTTTCTAAAGATAAATTAATTGCTTGGGATGATGACAAACATTCATTAGGCATTTGGTATGTGGTGTTCTGAAGTATGTGGCTTGCCCAAGTCCACAACACAGAGACAGATTCTCTGAGTGGCTAGCACCTCTCCACAGAGGCATAGTGGGATTCGAACCCCCAGCTCCTGTCTCTGCAGACAGGTGCTCCAACCCATTAACCTTTGCCAAGCTGTTGATTATATACAATTCTCCATATATCTGTGAAGATTCTCAGTCATCCAGGTTATCTGGAAGATGAGTCATGGCAACTGGACTTCTTTCTTGTTAGGTCGAAATGTTTCGCTACTCGTCCAAGTACCTACTTCAATCTGAAGACTGAAGAAGCTACTTGGACGAGTAGCAGAACAAAGTCCAGTTGCCAAGACTCAACTTCCAGATAATTCTCCATATAATTTTACAGTTATAGACCCGCTACAGTGCTTGATCTTTTCATTCTTGAAAGTCCAGTTGCCAAGACTCAACTTCCAGTTGAGTCTTGGCATATAATTTTACAGTTATAGATCCGCTACAGTGCTTGATCTTTTCATTCTTATCTTTATATGTTTGTATTTTTCTTTTCTACCAGATCGATAAACATTCACATCAGTCTTTCCTCAATTTCTGTGATGTTCAATTCTGTAATTTGCCAAGAACATCTCATTCTGTAGGTTTGGCTTGTTGGTTCCTCTGCATTTCTATCATATATTTCCCCCTTTTCTCCTTTTTCTCCCCCTAGTACTGCATTGGTGGAGGAGGGTTTTTCCCAGAAGGAAATCCTCGGCAGTGTGGTGACTTCACTGGCTTTGACTGGAGCGGTTATGGGACCCACCAAGGCTGGAGTGCTTCCAGAGAACTAACTGAGTCCGCAGTCCTGATTTTTTACCGGTGATCAGAACAGAGGCCGTTTGCAGAAGCAGAAGCATCAGGACTCCAAATTGTTTACAGGTTTTTAAAATTAAATCGGGATATTAAACTTTTCCTTGAGATGCACAAACTTGTGATGGCCATGTAAATAAAAACAGTGAGCTACCACTATGGTCTGTGTGGAGTTGCTTCTTCTTTATATGATAACAGAGTGACTGTTGGACTGCTCTGGGCTGACATGAGGTTTTGTTTACTGCACACTGCCTCTGTGTCCTGGTTGAACCAGCAGTCATTCATGTTGAAATGTTTAATTATCTGAAAGTGTCTATATGAGACAGCCAAATTGGCAATATTTTCTCCTTGTGTCACAGAGCCCACCTGTCCCCCTCTGCCCTTTCACTGCTGCTGATTCATCCGCTGTCAGCCATCACAGCAGGCAGGAAATCTGGGCACATGAATTAATCCCAATGTTTGGTAGCACATAGAAAATTGTTAGGCACACACTCATATCACACAAAATGCTTGACTCTATGAATAGCAATCTACATTTCCAGCAATGGTTTCTTGTTAAGGGAGGACAGATAAGTTAGGTCAGGCAGGGGATTAGTTTGCAAATCTAATTGTTCTGGCACATATTTCTCAGGAGATCTTGGTATGGGATGGAAAACAAACTAATTTTCAGAAATCCATTTTCCTCTTAATGTCTAGTTTGACCCTAAAGAACAGGAGATTCCAGATTCCCTTAGGACACTGGGGTTTTGTTTATGCTTATTTGCTTGGATCCTTTTGTGACTGCCCACTGGTGCTAGTATGTCCCACTCTGGCACTATGGTTTGGTGGGATTGCAGTCAATGAGATGCCAGAATCAATGGGCACCATTTATTTGACACCATTTTTGTCTGAGTGAATAATTATAGCTGACAGGGGCGGGGTGTATGATGGCAGGGGGGGCGGTCTGGATTGCAACTGGGGAAGAAAGGAAGAAAAGAGAGAGAGAATAGTGATAAGAAAGTGTGCAGAAAGGATGGATGTGTGGAATTATTTATGTGTGGAAGCTCTTATATCCAACCATTAGGGTTGCCCAGTCTGCCTTCCACTCCTGGAGATTTCAAGGACACAACTAGAGGAGAGGACGGCAGGGAGCTGTCATGTTATGGAGTGGAACCTGATGTGCAGACAATGTGGTTTTCCTGTACCAGGGATGTTGGCAAGTGTTTGGGTCCAAATCCTGATGCTGAGTCCCCTTCTTTAGTACCAAGTCCTGAGTCCCAAGTCCCTAGGAAAAATAAGCTTTTATCACCGGGGGTGGGTGGGTTCTGAGTCACAAGTCCAGTCTGAATCATTGGGAAAAAAAACTGAATCGAGTGCTTGGTGAAACTTAAGTCTTGGTATGACTCGAGTCCCCAGACCTGTCCTATACAACCTCTTAAACAAATCCTACACATGCAGCACATTGGCAGATACATTTGTGCACTGAGCCCCAGAGCCTGTTAGAGGCAGGGGGAAGAGGGGTGCACAGGCATTAACACCACTGCAACCAACGTTTCTCTTTCTTCTGTGCCACTTGCTCTGAAACCTACATCTCCTTACCTGGAGCCCTGGGGATGCCTAGCTGCTCTAAGAACTTCAGCCCAGAATCTCAGATCTGACAACTCTTCCTGCCTTTCCTCTCATGAGCTAAATGGATCTTGGCCCCACCAACTTTATCTGCAGAACCCTCAGAAGTAGGCATGTATATATGGAACACAGAAAAAAAGAGAGATGAGGAGAGCTGTAGCTTCTCCCATTTTTTACACCTGACCAGCATGCTGCCCTAGATTTCGTTCAGAGGTATCTGGTGCTCAGGGGAGAATATTTTCCTACCACTGGTGTAAATACTGGTTTTCTATCCCACCTGGACAATCATATACAGTATCAGAAGTGTGTGTGTGCAATCATGAATGTGCTCTTCAGCCTGCCATGTCAATGTGTCTCAGTAGCCCACGGACACTGCAGTGATCTCATGCTGGCTTGCTCTGTGTTACCCATCACCCCACAGCCTCAAGGTCGGTTTAACCATTAATGAAGGGAAAAGATCCAAGACCAGTTGACCAAGGCTTTCTTCCTGCTGGTTCTGTTACCATTTCTAGTTGAAACCAAGAATAAGGTGCGCTGTGAAGAGCAGGTAAGTTGTGAAATCTTGTATCTTTCCCTCAGCCATCTGTGCTGCATGAAGTAAGATGGCTGTCTTGGGTTGACTAGACTTGGGATTCCAGAGTAGAGGACCATCTCCCAAGCTCTGAACGAGGAGCGCCAAGAGGTTCCTTGCTCCACAATATCTAGCGAAAACAGCAAAAATCTGCAAGTCCTGCTGAATGGATGGCACATGTCATGGAAGCTCGCCATCTTTCTTGCAGCTTCTCAAATTCTAACCTTTCTACCTGGGCCAGTTCCTGCTTAGTGGGAATTCTGGGCAAACAAGTGGCAAGACGCTTTTCTCCTTCATGGGATGCAGTTTACCTATTGGTCCCGTTGTCATACTTCTGTAACTTATTAAGTTTTTCCTGAGGTTCAATCAAAATCTGGCTTCCTGTTATTATGTGTCCTGTACTCTGTGAAGATTGAGAACAAATCTTGCCCCTTCTCTGTATGATAACCTTTCAGTGTTTGAAAAGTGCTATCGTATCTCCTCTCATTCTTCTCTTCTCAAAGCTGAACATGGCCAGTTCTGACTCTTGAACAGGAGGAACTACAAAGAGAAGTTATTGTTTTAATCAATCAACACAATGATTGATAAAACCAAACAATAAAACTAGAGTTATCCTCCAATGCACATGGATCTACTCATAGTCATTATGAAGGTGACTCCATGTCAACTTGATTCTTTCTAACCAAAGAGACCAAGAGCAGGTGTACTTTGGAAAACATGGAAGAACAAAGTGAGCCTCAGCAGTAACCAATAGAAGAACAAAGTGAGAAAACAGGGGAAATGGACAAGAAGAGAGAAAATAGCTAGATCCACCTGTCTGTCTATCACACACACCCCACTTGAGCCAGGGTAGCTGTTAACATGCACTGGTTCAATTTTCAACAGCAAAAGCAAAGACTTTTGACTGAAGAATGAAATGGATGGCTCCCTGGGGCCACACACTGGAGTATTTTGGTAGTGCTATTCGGATGCTTTCTTCTTGTGCTAATTTCAGTTTCTCTCCTCTATTTGCTGCAACAGATTAACACAGTAACCCCTTAATATGATTGTTCAGGTATACTTTCTGATTCTGAGGCACATACAGTATTTTTAAAATGGTTTTAGAGATAGCCCTCCTTCACAGAATTTTGCCAAGGTGCGGGTGGCAGGTTTCCAAGAGAGGTTTCCATTTCAGCTGGATGACACAATCAGAATAAGGTCCGCTGTCTGTTGTCTTGTCTAACAACACAGCCCCTTGCCTATCTGTTCTTACATTTAATGCCACTTTCGCCAAACTGAAGTGTGTACAGGATTGCCATGGAACTGTCTCGTTCTCTATGATTTACAAATGACTCAATCTTGGCCAAAGTCCATTTCAGATGCATTTCAGTACACAGAGGATGAAAACTTCACCCTTTGCTACAGCTTGCTTCACAGGCATTGCTCAGTCTGAGTGGCTGGATGAGTTCTGGACTGTGATTGATATAACACCACTTTCGTCTTTCATCTTAGCACAATGAAGGAGTTCCTAGTCTTCCTGCTGTGGGTCTCTGTGTTTCCAAAAGGCCAGAAAAGTGGTAAGTGTCAACGTTCTTGGCAAAAATAACTACAGTACGTACTATAGTCTTCCTGCTGTGGGTCTCTGTGTTTCCCAAAGGCCAGAAAAGTGGTAAGTGTCGACGTTCTTGGCAAAAATAACTACATACTACGACTCTTGCACTCAGAGTAGAGTAACAGGCTGAATGAGGCCAGTTCACCAAAATCAAGGCCTGCCAATTAAATTTTACCACCTCAGATGAAGTACAAGGTGCTGTTGTTATATCAGTTCACCAAAATCAAGGCCTGCCAATTAGATTTTACCACCTCAGATGAAGCACAAGGTTGTACTGTTGTTATAGGTCACAAAGATCTTTGTAACAATCCTATGAATTCATCGCTTCCAAGAGGTGCTGCCATTAACAGCCCTGCTCAGTTCTTGCATACTCAAGGCCATGGTTCCTTTCTGGAATTCATCCATTGTGCATTTTGCCCTACTCTTTTCCTACTGCCTTCAACTTTTCTTAGCAGTACTGCCTTTTCCAGTGAGTTGTGTCTTTTCATGATATGTCCAAACTATGATAGCCTCCGTTTAGTCATTTTACCTTGCAGTGGGAGTTCAGGTTTGATCTGATCTAGACTCTAGAAATGGATTTGTCTTTCTCCCAGTCCTTAATATCTGTAGAGCTTTCCTCCTTTTACATATTATCTTTTTCATTGTCCAGATTTCATATGCATACACAATAATCAGGAATGTCACTGTATGAATGGTCTTGGCCTGAGTCTACAGTAACACACACTTAGACTTGAATATCTTTTCTAATTCCTTCATAATAACCATTACAAGTTTCAGTCTTCTTCTGATAGCTTGGCTGAAGTGTGTGTTTAGACAAAGGATTGAACGAAGGTGGAGAAAATATTTTGATTCTTGTTCCTCAGTGTTAAAGCTATGTAGCTCTTCGGTTGTCTTAATTTTTTGCTTTCTTAATGTTCAGCTCTAATCCTTCTTTTGCACTGTCTTCTTTCCCTGTTGTTTTTTTGCCACTCATCTGATACAATCTGCATATCTTAAATTATTGCTGTTAAAATTATTGCTGCCTGTTTTAAATCTGCATGAGGCAGCAGCCCCAGCTGGCACTTAAACTATGTGATATTCCTCCTCCGCTATTTAGTGAGGTGACATCCCTGCACCTACAAAAATAGCTAAAATGCTAGAGTTGTGTTGCAAAAGAAGTGATGTTCGCTCTCATCAAATTACAATTGTTGTGTAACTCAGTTGTACAGTAGTTATTGCAAAAGAAAGAAAAAAGGAATGGATTATCAATAATTTATAATTTGTAACTAGACCCAATAAGCAAGAGTAAACCCTCAATAAATTTATTCTGTGCAGACAGCGATTACTGTGTCACTTCCCTGAAGCAAGATATTCTCAACTTGATGGTCAAATGGGAAGATATTGCCTGCCTTAAGAATCAGCAAGGCTTGCCCTCAAACCTTCTCCAAACATTGCCCCGAAGTTGCAAGGAAATCAAAACAGCACTGGAAGGAGCATCGGGTGAGTAGCAGAGAAAAAGAATGTATCCAGTCCAGTTCTTTTTAGAACAGCAGGCAAGAAGACACAAGGGCCTGGATGCAGTGGCCACATCACAAGGATGAGCTTTTTTTATCTAGCACAAGGACTCCATTGGATTTCGAACTCATTTAATAGAGCTGAGCTTTTAAACCAGCACTTAGCAGGTCTCAAAAGCAGCAGGCAGACTGTTTCATGGATTCAGAGCCATGCAGTAAAATTCAGCAAGCACCGTGTGGTGCAGGAAAGACCCGTCTCTGGCAAACTGCAAGCCAAAACCAGCACTAAATAAAAACAGATGCATAGATTTTAAAGGCGATGGGGACACATTCAGGGGACACCAGATTACAATTTGCAGCTTTTGCAACCATTCTAATATTGATTAATGCTTCCCCAAGCATCCAAATATCACTTCTACGAGCGCTATGTTTAATTTTTATGACCACTGTGACTGGTGCTGGAAGTTGACATGTCTACACCATCCAGTACAGCAGCATGAGAAAAGAGTTGAAGGGGGGGGGGAGAAACAAAACAGCGGAGATTTGAGGTGAGTGACCAGCAAATATGCTAAGGAGAGGAGGTGTAAGGGAGAAGTGAGGAGACAGAGGAAGTCATAGGGGAGCAACTGGTAAGAGAATAAAAGATAGAAGGTGTGGGAAAGGAGAGAAAGGAGACAACAGCAGACAACAATTATATGGGAGATTTGGGTTGTTTTTTTTTCAACTGGGAAGAATCCCACTTTTAAGAACACTTACTCTCTGGGAGCAACTCTCTGAGCTTCTGAATGAAGGGACACATAATAGAGGGCTTCCACAGATGCCCTTAAATCAGAGTCCAGAAATCTTCCATTATCCACAAAATTCCTAAGAACATCAGGATTCTAAAATTTTGTGTATCATGAGTGCATGTGGGGGGAAGGGGTTAGAGCACTGCTCTGGACTCTTAAGACATACAGATTTTCCTTCCCACTGAGTTGTTAAACTCGCTGGATAAACACGGGCAAATCACACACACATACACACAGAAGCTGTTCTACCTGACATGGCTCTTCTGAGGATAAAGTGGGGAAGAAGGCAGCTAGATGTGCCATTCTGGGCTCACGGGAGGAAAGGTGGGATATCAGTGCAACTAAAATGCAAATAATAAATGGATATTTAACATTACGATTGATACACAAACCAAGACAAGCCACCATTTTGCTGGTTTGTGTTCATCTCTACACAAGAGTTTTGATTCTACACAGCCTTCTGGGCTTCTCTCCAAAGATGGATTGTACTACCTGGCCACCGAAGATGGTGAAATATACCAAACCTTCTGTGACATGACCACCAACGGAGGTGGCTGGACTCTGGTGGCTAGCATCCACGAGAACAACATTTATGGGAAATGCACCCAGGGAGACCGCTGGTCCAGCCAACAGGGCGGTGAGAAAAACTACCCCAGGGGAGATGGCAACTGGTCCAACAACGCCACCTTCGGATCAGCCATAGCCTCAACAAGCGATGATTACAAGGTGCGGTTTTCCTTTCCATAATATATAAGAAGGACTTTCCTGACTGGGAAATATGCTTATCATAGACTATATGCGGCTCCTACAGCCAGGGCCAGCCCTTCACATGGATGAGGCAGTCACCTCAGGCTGCAGAGCAGTGAACTCTGCAAATTCATCAGACCCTAGAAAGGGGCTCTTGGGGTTCTCCCATAGCTTCTGCATGCAAAAAAGAAATGGACTAACTCAGTGAATGAACCATGCCCTTTGCACAGGGGGAACTGTACAACTCACTACGGGAGGCATATCTGTTGGTCAGCTGCATGAGCTGTTTGTTCACTCCATGTAAAATAAGGGGTGGTCATGAAACAAGATGTTGGGAGGTCATGCTCCACTCCTGGCCTCAGGCAGCAAAGTTTGTGGTTGCTCTGCTAACAGACCATGCTCACAGGATGGTGGGAACTGCAGACCAGCACAACTGGAAGGCAGCGGATTGGGGAAGGCCACTCTAAAATCATAGTTTAATACAAGCCTTGCAGTTTTGTTTTCCTCTTTAGTGAGATTAGAATGACTCCCTTCCATTTGTCCCCACTAACCATTTCTGTTGTTTATCTAAAACGGAATGAACAGCAATAAACTTAAACTATGGTTTATCTGACAAGTCAGCTTCGAACCATGGTTTCTGATCCTGACTCTTTTTGATAATCTATATTTAGGACAAACTTTAATTTCAATTTTGGATCAAATAACAAAAATTTGGTTTGTTCAAAATGAAAGCAGATGTTCCCAACCTTTTCCCCCCCAGCTGTAATGAAGGAAAAGATTATACTGTAGTGGGAGCAGATTTGACTGAATAACACTGAAGTAGGATTAACACTGCATCTGAACTAGGCTGTCTATTCACCACTTTTGATCAAATATCTAATGAATCCTCATTGCTCTTATTAAACGAAACACACTAGCAAAGTATTTCTTGCTTGCTGTGACAAGTATATACTGTACATAAATTCCACCTTTCCTCAAATGCGTGTGGCCTACAACCCCAAGCAAAGTCACATGGCAACAAAGTAAAGTCACATGGCAACAAAGTAAAACCACATTACAATTAGAAACAATTGCAAAAACAGGTTACAAATGCAGTAAGAAAACCAACTGACACAAAGAATCATCATGAAAAGTGAAAGCAATAGAAACACTGCCTAGGAGCAGCAGACTTTTTCTTCAGATGCCCTTGTTTTGCAGAACCCTGGCTATTACGACCTTGAAGCTCAGGATCTGGCAATATGGCATGTTCCCAACGACACCCCCATGAAAGAGTGGGTGGCCACTGCCTTCCTGAGGTATCACACTGAAACGGGATTCTTGGCTGAGGAAGGAGGCAACCTCCTGAGACTCTACCAGGTAAACAGGGCTGACTGCAATTCCATACAGTATTTCTGCATGAAGACTCTGGTGCTTGGCAGAGCTTGGATGTAACTACTGTAGTTATCAACAACATTGTTAGCTGCACTGAATTACAGTAGGACCTCTCTATCTGCGGGATCAGTATCTGTAAATTAGTTTATTAACTGACTGAAAATACTAAATAAAAAGCTCAGATATACATATTCATATGTATTTCCAGGGTATGTTTAGCAGAACTGGCACTAAAAGGAGCCAGAAACCACGCAATGTACAGCGTCTGCTATTTCTGCATTTTTCGGCATCCGCGGGGGAATTTGGAACCAATCCCCCATGGATTGGGGGGGGGATCCTACTGTATCATCTTTTCATTTTGTGTTGAGGGCTTAATGAAGTTCAGTTTCAAGAGAAACAAAATTACTTTATCAGTATAATGAGCAATATTTCTACCTTTGCACAATAATTTAAAAAGACATGCTGTACATTGTTAGAGGCATTGTTAGAGGAATTTTTCAATTTTTAGGCCATTTCTATATCAATTATCAGCATTTTTAAAAAAGAGGAAGAGTAATGGAAAATAAACCATCTATGCAACAAGTTATTTTTTTAAAAACCCCTGTTATAAAGAACAACACAATGCTTTTTTAAAAACTCTATGATGAGCCATGGGACAGGATTAGCTTGAGAAAATAACTTTCTCAGCTTTGCTATGAAGGCTGTGACCTGTTGGGAGCATTTGTGCCGTTGGCTGAGTGTTGAGGAACAAGGACATTCGGTACGAAAAACAAAGCCATGAATATAAGATGATTTCGAGCCATCTCTATGAAAATTGGAGCAAATTCCATCCTGATATCATCGGGGAGAAACAAGAGATATAAAGTTAGGGGAAAGCCTTCAAGGGCTGCAGTGGTTAGCAGCAGCTTTACAAGAAGGGTAGCTTTAGTAGAAGAAACACTTTTTTCAAGCTAATCACTAGGTCCAAGTGAGATACGAGACAGGAGATACAGGTAAGGTTTCCCAAATCTCCCCCCCTTTAAAGTAATTACAGAGTGATGATGCTGGGGAGTGGTGTGGGGTGATGCTCTCATGTTCTGATCTAAATTAAGTCTCCCTCCTAAGCAGAGGGAGGAACCACAGAAGGAAAAGTACAGGCATCTGTATGGTATTTGTGATTTTCCCCTCCTGCAAGGAAATTTTACATTTTGAGATCTCTGTCTGTTTGTGTACGTCCGTGCTTATGGGTAAAACAGCATATTGCATAATCCTGCACAATTCTGACTGATCTCAAAGAACTGCTGTAGGGATGAAGTGGGAGGTGCAAATCTTTGAAGGAACAAAAAACAAAAAAGAAAATAAGTATATGAATGAATGAATGAAGCAAGACTGACAGTGCAGTGTTCCCACTTCAATATATTTTTTATAAAGGCAAACCCTTGTGATTGCATTTAATTTTAAATTTTTTTCTTAACCCTAACTTTAATGATCAAAGTACTAGTCAGCTTCTGTACAGCAGCATTAGCTTGCCGGTGAGAAACGGTACCATAAAAAATTTATAATGATTATCCTACAAGATTTCTGTTTTTAAGAGTTAATCATACACAGTATATGTATTTAATTTGTATTTAATAACTCCCATTAGTATGCGGTTTTGTCACTAATTTTGTCTGATCTGTTGTGAGTAATGAAGGAATCAATCAATGCTTTATTTTCTTTCTTGGAAGCAAGGGATCAGATAATCATATCAAGTTTGTCTTGAGCCAAAATAAAGGTCGAATTCTGTAACTAATATTCCTTGGCTTCTAATTCTCCAGCGTATATTTACAGCAGTTACTTCCTGAAGCTTTAATAACTGCTCTTGATTTCTTTTTCTCTGTTCTTCTCATGCTTGTCTTTACCAAAGAAATACCCAGTGGAGTTTGGAATCGGGAGCTGCCCAGATGACAACGGCCCAGTGGTACCAGTCATCTATGATGCTGGGAATGAGGAGAAGACAGCTTTCCTGTTTGCACCAGAGTCTAAAGGTATATTTTTAGTTCATGTGGCCAAATTTTCTGTGTCATGGCAAAATTCTCTGGATTGCTTAAGCAGCATTGATGGAATATGTTTATGAACCAAAGTAAAATTCTTGCAGGGAGCCCATGAGGAGAAACTCATGGCTAAAAAGCTTTGAATGACAGGTGACAGTGTATCTGTTGCTGCTAACTACAAGTGACCCACTTTCCAGTTTTTCATGGAATAATTAAATACTGATGGCAATTGATTGTGGGTAGATGGAAGCGAAGAAAGGGAGATTTTTAAGGCCAATTTAAGGCCAATAAGGAGTGACAGGTTAGTACACGTAATGTATAGCATAGAGGAAGCAGTAGAATGTGTTGTCATCTACTAAAGCCTGACAGTGGGAGAGTCAGGATTTTTTCAAAAGTTTTTCTCACAGTGAACCTAGCTAAACTATTATGAATGAGAAGGATCTTGGAGTTTTCGTAGCTCACATACTGAATATGAGCCAACAGCACAACATAGCTGCAAAAAAGGCCAATGTGATTTTAGAATGCATTAACAGAAGTACCATGAGGCACTAATCCCCCTCTGTTCAGCACTAGCTGGGCCTCATCTAGAGTCCTGTGTCCAGTTCTGGACACTGCAGTTGAAGAAGGATGCCAACAAACCGAAACAAGTCCAGAGGAGGGCAACTAGGTGTTGGAAACCAAGCCCTACAAGGAAAGACTGAAAGAACTGGGCATGAGAAAAGAAGACTGAGGGGAGATCAGATAACAGTCCCCAATTACTTGAAAGGCAGTCATACCAAGGAGGGGCAGGATCTGTTCTTGATCATCCCTGAGTGCAAGACACATAATAATGGACTCAAGCTACAGGAAGCCAGATTTAGGCTGAATATCAGGAAGAATTTCTTAACAGTTAAAGCAATAGAACAATGGAACCCTTGACCCTGGGAGGTGACGAGAGCTCCAGTGCTGAAGGCAATCAAGAGGAAATTGGACAGCTGTCTGTCAGATCTGCTTTGATTTGACTTCCTGCATTGAGCAGGGGGGTTGGACTTGATGGCCTTATAGGCCCCTTCCAACTCAATTATTCTATGATTCCATGAATTTGTTAATGACAAGGTGTAGTGATGGAATCACCAGGTTCTTTGTGATGATGTCATGCTTTCCTTCCTCCCTCCCTTCCTGTCTCTTTAATTCTCCAGATCAGATTGAACCTGGCTTCATTCAGTTCCGGGTGTTTAATAACGAGAAAGCTGCCATGGCTCTCTGCGCAGGGGTTAAAGTCACTGGTTGTGATACAGAACACGTGAGTAGCTAGCCCAAAGGCCTGGTGCTAAGATGTCAGTCTGTCTTTCCCCATTAATTGGCCATATTCCGCATTGGTCCCTGCAGATTCTGCATTCCAAAACTCAATTAATAACTCCAATTACTTTCCCCTAGGTCTGTATTGGTGGAGGAGGGCACTTCCCAGAACAAACCCCACGGCAGTGTGGGGACTACACTGCCTTTGACTGGAATGGTTATGGGACACACAGCGGCCGGAGTGTTGCCAAACAGTTATTGGAGTCGGCAATGCTGCTTTTCTATCACTGAATTTTCACCTACCATTAATTGAACCCTGGAAAAAACCAGAATAATTTTTGTTCCTGTTTCAGAAGCTCACAGTGTGGATGAAAGAATATGAATGTTGATCTATTTCAGCACTATTTATTTTATTTAACATTTATAAGCATTCAACAGTCCACTTACAAAAACAGCATATAGAATGAATTAAATTTGTTTTAATGGCCCTTTTAAAATCGATTTCTTTTTCAAACCACCTACGAAACAAAGTTTTAAGGGCCGTGTCTGGTCTTTTAAAAACACAAAATGTACCAGTACTAAAATAAAAGGATTAATGAAGAAACAAATGTAAAACCAAGAGACCAATGTTTTCATGTTTGCACAAATGAAAACTTTAAAAAATATCCCTGCAAAATTAGAAAGCACTCTGGAAAAAATACGAAGGACAGTGGACAAGTTAAACAAGATGGGGAGGGAAGAGAGAGTAAAGGGGGCAGAGACTGGGCAGAGATGGGCAAAAGGGGACATCAATATATACTGGGAATGAAATGCTTCAATGCCCTTTATGACTTCTTTGCTACAATTAACCCACCAGGACCAGCTTTCAGACTGGGAATCAAAAGTGTGACGGGCACCAAACAGTTGGAGATGCTTTCCACTTAGGCTGCCGGTAAGGCCTCTTACCTGAAGAGGTTTCTGCTATCCCAAACCCTATCCTACACCCTCAACACATCCTTAAAAATCACAATTCCTGTACTGTTTCTTGCTTCTGGAAGTGTCTAATCTTGTTCCCCAGGCTTTTAGTCTTGGTGTGGGGCAAAAGCATGCTCCCCTCAGAATCTCCATGACACAAGACCTATAGTACCTCATGTCCTACTGTCCATACAGAATTGAACTTGCTTTTGGGGCTTAAATTTTACAGTATTTAATAATTGTACTTGTTTGTGGGGGGTTTTTTGGTGATTTTTATGACTGTTTTGTCTCAAATATCTTTGAAATCAGATTTCTTGAACACAGAACCCTGCCAAACAGATGTGATTTTAGCTTTAATCATAGGCTACTTGTTTCTGATATGAAGATAGAGGACAGCCTTCTCAACAGAACTTTATGCAGTACTATAAGTGATTAAATTACTTTCCAGGACACCAAAATATGGATCCAAAAGAACAGTGGGATTTCCTACCGGCCACACTCAGAACAAACCCAGTTCCTAAGCTGTGCTGTTTTTTATCATCCCTGAGTGCAGGACATGCAACAATGGGCTCTAGTTATGAGAAGCAAGAATTTGGTTGAACATCAGGGAAAAGTTCCTAACTGTTAGAGCAGTACAACAATGGAACCAATGACCTCAGGAGGTGGGGAGTCTTCCAACACTGGGGGCATTCAAGAGAAATTTAGACAACCACCATTTAGATCTGCTTTGATTCGGATTCCTGCATTGAGCAGAGGGTTGAACTTGATGGCCTTATAGAACCCTTCCAACTTCATGATTTTATTAATCAATGAATCTGGGAGTCTGATTCTCTGCTGTACCTTTTTAACAGGGGATAGACTCAACCCTTCCAGCTGTGCAGTTCCAAGATTACGATGATGATTTTCACTTCCCATATGACACTGGAATCACATTCCCCATCACCCACTGCTGAACCACATTCCTAGGTTTGCACACCAGCCTTTTGTCTGTGATTTATTTTCTCAGAGAACTTCAGCATCATCTCACTAGCTCTGTGGCAGTGACGAATGCCATCCATTAGACAAATTCGAAAATTGGCAGCTTAGCATTTTGGATATGTCAAAATATGTCCCCATGTTTGAAAGACAAATCAGACCTTCTCCCCCGCACTGTGTGGGAAGAAGACGCTCCCAGAAAGCAACCAGGCAACGCAGAGAAATGGGAAAGGTAATGGAGGTGACAGAAATGTAGAGAGTTCTAAACATATTGGTGTTTCCCCTGTAAATGTGTTATGAGTGATTAATTTTTCTACTATGACCAGCAATCCCTTATAATCAGGAATTAATGCAAGATAGCTAACGACTAAAATGAAAGACATTGGAGCTTACGTTTCCAGACTTGAAGGACACTGCACTCTTATTCTGCGTAGGTCCTTGTTCCCCCAGTAGAGCGGCTATGATTATTCAAGAATACACTGGTTACGATTATTTAGCAATGGGGGTGGAGCATTCTCTGCATGCTCAGAAAGCCTTTTAAAAAATCACAGGCTCAGCAATACTTTTTTTTTTGGCAGTTATTTCCCAGGCAGCAAAACTAAGCTGTAGCCTCAGGAGAATGTCCCACATCTACATAGTGAGAGGTCTGGGCCCAAATTATCTATGTATTAGCCTGTCTACCATGTCAACTCAAATGCCTTCAAGACGAAATGTCCTGTAAATGTCCCAATTCTGCCATGCACTCCTCTCTGCATTTTGGTGGTACACAAGTCTCTCAAGGTCTCCAGAAGTATACATTATAGTCACTTCGGTAAAGTTTCCTCTTGACATTTAATCCAGCCGTGTCCAACTCTAGGACGTGGTGCTCATCCCTGTCTCCAAGCCATAGAGCCAGTATTTGTCCATCAACAGTTTCTGTGGTCACGTGGCCAGCACGACTAGACATGGAACACCGTTACCTTCCCACCGTGGTGGTACCTATTTATCTACTTGCATTTACGTGCTTACAAACTGCTAGGTTGGCAAGAGCTATGACAAGTGACGGGAGCTCACTCTGTCACATGGATTCAATCTTACAACTGCTAGTCTTCTGACCTTGCAGCACAGAGGTGGTATAAAAATCAAATCAAATGAATGAATGAATGAGTAAGAAAGAATACTTAACAGCCGGAGAAGTGCTGGCATACATACATTATCTTTATAGGCAGCCCGTGATCAGGCAAAACTATGGACAAGGACCACTAGAGGGCAGGCGCCATCAATAAAAGTCCTATGCCCTGTTGTTGTGACTTGGCAGAATGTGATGTGACTTAAAAATGAGAATGGTGGCTTTGGGAGGGAATTTGTTTTCCCTCTATAGAGAAGCAGAGGGTGAATTAAGCCCACATATTAGCAGCAATGACAGAAGTGGGAGTTCATTCACTGCATCAGCTTAACTATAAATACTTCTGAGAAATAGAAATCAAAGAAATTAGCAAAGCTAACTCTAGCCCATTCAAAAGCTTTCTCGGTATGGTTTCCAGTCAGTTTCAGATGTTATATGCTGCTTTCAGTCATGCGGCCCTCCAAAGCGTATTCACCTTTCAGACCTATTGGAACAAATTTGCTCTCAGGTTCTTCAGGAGTGTAGACATTAGGCACCCAGCCCGGAACAAACCTGTTCCTGACAAGTGCCCATGCAAAAATTTCAGGTGTGCCACAGCGTGCTTTGTGGCAGGGCGGGTGTCCCAACGGGTGTCACAAGACGGCACCGCCAGAGATTTTTGCCTTCAGCAAGGGGAGTTGGACTTGATGGCCTCCGAGGTCCCTTCCAACTCAAATCATTCTATGATTCTATGATCCCACTAATGGCACTAGTATTGCTTCTAGTTTTTACACAGATGCTTGTTTAACCTACAAACAAACCTATTTGTTTGTTTTATTTATATACCGCCTTTCTCCCAATAAGGGGACTCCAGACAGCTAATTTATTTATTTGCTATAATACTATATGTCGCCTTTCTCCCAATAAGGGGATTCCAGGCAGCTAATTTATTTATTTGCTATAATATTGGAGGTGGATAAATGGAAGGTGCTATGCCAGAGGGTCCACAGCCAGCACTGACAATATCCTGCACATCCTACATCAAAGAAAGAACAGCATCTCCATTTCCACTCTCTGTGGTGTTCTTCCACTTTTGAATCTAAAGCAATCATCAGTGCCATTATCATCGAAGAAAATAAATGGTTTTTCCTTGTGTAAGAACATAAGAATCTTTTCTCACCGTGTCTATTCTATGTGGTAGAAAGCAAGCTTTTCACACACACCTTACCAGTATGACAGAAATCTGCAATATGCAAAATAAATTCATCCCAATCGAGCTGGGTACTCAATTTATCACCTTTGGAAGAATGGAAGGCTGAGTCAATCTTGAGCCAGCTACCTGAACCCATCACGACACAGGTCCTGAGCAGAGGCTTGACTGCAGGACTGCAGTTTGACCACTGTGCCACAGTACTCATCTATTGGGATATAGCATCTTACCAGAACGTTAAGCTAGCAATTTGAACATGTTTTGTTGCTCATCAGTCTGGAATATCTTTGGAGATGATAGAGGAAGTGCACAATGTAATATAGTTCTCCCACGTTCAAGTCACATGGTCATACTGAATTGCAAACCATCACCGCTAGAAGGCAGACTCTCTCTATAAATTGTTTCTGCCAGTGAAATACAGAATTGACCTGAGCTATTTTTAACACTGATCACAGCATATGGAAGTGTGCATTCAAGCCTATCAAACTGTCATGGATGAATCATGAGGAGGTGGAAGAAACTTGAAAGGCCATCCAGATCAATCCCTCTGCACACAGAAAATTAATATCTAAAGCATCCCAAATGACAAGCGGTCATTTCAGCTCTGTTAAACACCCTTCATCATAGCACGTTTCACCAGCTCCAATAATCAGCGAGGCAGATGTGGTTCCCACCCGACCAACAGAAATTGTGCCCTCTCAAATGACATGAACGGATCAGAATTGTAAAAACTTATAGAAGTGTGACCCAGTGTAGCCATGGAAGTGGATTCAACACGGAATCACAACGCTTTCTGCCTCCCTACAAACCTGAGGGGGCACGACGTTTTTGGAATAGCTTTCTAGAAAGCCAGTCACATGCCATGTGGGGAGCAAATACTGGAAACACACATGAATTCTGGTAATTTTAAAATACAAGAGCTAAACATGAGACATCAAGCCACTACACAGATAGTGTTAAAAAGCAACATACTTTTTGATCTTCCACTATCTATTCCATAATCTCTTTTCTGGCTAGCTGGAGGCAAAAAATCCAGAGTTTTGCTTCCAAAATTAATGAAGCTACAGGCCTGAGCAAGTGGGGTTAGTACCTACATACAACCACCGGTTGTTAAATGGCGCCAATGCTAACTGGATCATTTCTCAGCACCTCACCCCTAGATCCATTAGTGAAATGTCCTGAACTTTTACTAGGAAATGTCACTTCATTTCATAGAGCCCTAAGGCAAGGAGAACCAGGAATGCTAGTTACTAGTTCAGCAATCAAAAGAAAGAATGAAAAAGGTAAATATAAACAACTGTTTGCAAGTGATAGATTAAAATGTAGCACTTGTAAACTGCAACAAATAAACTAA